GTTAAGAGGTAGCCAGGTCCCAAGTTTGAAGAGAGTGAAAACAAGTTTACAATCACTATAATTTGGCTTTAAAGAGTGAATTGGAAAACATTAAGAGGTACATAAAACATAAAGAGGAAGCTGGGACACTGGAAATGTGTCTTCAGTTGCCTGGAAGAATTAGAGCTCTAGTTGAGGCAACAGGCACTAACATTTGGGGCTCTGAGTTTTTTAAATAGGCTCAGAAGTATCCAGGTGGGTGCAATCCAAGGTAGGGATTTCCTGAGCCTATGCAAGAGAGGCCAGCAGAACAAAGGAGGAGAGAAATTGGTAGAAGAGAAGCTGCTGGGGAGGAAGTGAGGACAGGAGGTTTTGTGGTGGGGTTCCCTAGGTCAGACAACAAGTTACATTTGAAGTGAACAGTGGTAGATGATGACAGGCCCAGAAAGTTGCCACAGGAGCAGGTGGCTGACATGCAGGTTAGTTTGGAAGACAAGGTTAAAGAAATGAGAAGATAAAGTGGATGTAGACAGTAGCCAAGATGGTCATTCAATACCATTCCCAGTTTCCACACAACTTGCAAATGTCACTGTTACCTGATTCTTAGGAACACAGGCTGAGTTATTTCCTGGATTTGATTTTGATGTTGTCATTTGGTTTAAAATCTGAGCATTGTGCAGAGGTTCTGAGTTTCTAGCTATGAGAGAAAACAGGATGAAATAAGGGTGAAGCCATATTAAATAAAATTACCACACATAATATATTTCCCTGATATTTTAGTAAGTAGCATAAGAAATAAATCAACTCATTCACAATGTCTCAGAAAATGTAACTCAAACATTTCTTAGATAAAATAGGTATTATAGAGACAATATTCTGATAAACTCAAAATGCCCAAGGAAGTACCCAAGAGAAATGTAAAACCCAACTAGTTATTTTAAACAGGTTAAGACAGTCAATGCTTATTGCTGAAATGTGATCTTTATATGTAAGAAAGAAAATGAGTACATTTCTTAAATAGTTGCATTAAACACATTTTATTTTTCTATATAGGGATCCAATTCCATGGCCTTGGTGTTAGCACCACACTCTCCCAAGTGAGCCATGGGTCGGCAAACACATTTGATTCAATTCAGA